AAAAACTTCAAGAATATGTGAACCGTTCAAAAACAAAACACAATTTTACTAATTAACAATGAACTGATATTGTAATCACAATGGCAAGATGCATTTGCTATAACGAACCTAGGTTGCCATAATCGATGCCAATTGTTTAGGATTTTGATTCATCACATCACCTCTTTGATAAATTGTGACTAAAACCGAGCTTTTCTTGTTGCACTGTTTTATCGCATAATTTACTATTTTAATTTTGAATAGATTGTGCTGACTTACCATGTTCTGTTCTCTTATGTATTCCACGGTCGTATTTACAGTAATTTATTCAAAATGAACTGATTTTGAACCATATAAACTTCAATTTCCAACTTATTTACTTTTTTAACTAAAGTAAAACAAACTATGGTTCATTATGAGAAAGAAATGAAGTTTGATAGTCTTTTCTTTTTCTAACATTATCCCTTCCTTTTTTTACATTGTTGCAACAGATTCGCATTCAAGCAGTGGTACTTTTGGGTGTCCATTAGTTTTTGGACAAGGAAATCAGAAGGTAGATGCAACAGGAATGTCCAATTATGGGGGAACCTCAACCTGGACATTTGCTCAAACGTCATCCCCTTCATCTTCCACAACAATATTTGGAGCTTCATCACCATACAGTTTTGGAAGTTCATCTTCCAGTGGTTAGTATCCATTAATTTATTATTCTTAGCATTTGAGATTTCCTAAAATTCTAGTTTATCTTACACAAAAACGCTCTTAATTCAGTTTGGCAGAATATGGGTTTTCAAAACCCAATGTCGTAGGTTCAAATCCTACAGAGCGTGTTGTTTTGAATGTCATAACCTTTTTTATTTGCAGGAGTAACTCTTAGACATCAAGAATTTATTAGTTAATCGTTGTTGTTTTTTTTTCTGTAATCCTAACTGTTTTTCAGGAGCTAATGCCACAAGATCAACTTTTGATCTTCAAAAGTCACCTTTTGGTGGCCAAGATAGAGGAAGCAGAATTGCAAATTACAAAACAACCCCTGAGTCTGAGTATAATGCAGAGAAACTTGTATCGATTTCTGCCATGCCTGTTTACAAAGCTAAAAGCCATGAAGAACTAAGGTGGGAGGATTACAAGTTCACCAAAAAAGGTATGATTGATTTCTTGAGTTGCGTTTGCTACAAACAGAAGGGCATTCATGTCTTTTTCACAGACAGGATATAAACAGCAAGTCTTCGTGACAACTTATTTAACCTATTTTTGGGCACTACAAAAAGTTGCAAATTTTTGTCCTATTGACATCAGAAGTAGTCCAGTGCATGTCAAACACAGTACAACCTATTCTATCATGTCCTGTTCTAAGTAACGCAAGGACAACTTTTGAAGGATTTTTTTGTTTTTTTTTTTTTTCAGGTGGATTTGGCCCAAGTTCTTCAGCAATAAAGTCAACATCATTCACTCTATCTCCTTTTACCTCATCATCATTTACTAATTTTTCTACAAATTCATGGGGAACCACTTCAGTTTCTTCAACACCAATTACACCGAACCCATTTTCAAAAACAATCTATTCGGTAGCCACAGAGACACCCACATGGAGCTGGAAGTTTCCGGGACCCACATCCACTCCACAGCCTCTTCACTTTTCATCTTCTACAAACAATTCTTTGAGCACCATTACTTCTACTCCTTTAAACTCATTCAACCCATTTCTTCCCAAAACAAACCTCACCTCTCCAGCCTCCTTTACATCCACATCTTTTAAATCACCAACCTTGTCACTTGCACCTTTGAATCAAAATCCTTTCACTTCACTACCCACTCAAATGTCTTCCTCCAGTTTTTCAAGTCCTACATTTGCACCATTTATCACATCATCTTCTTCAAGTGGTTTGAGTTCAACTTTTAATCAACCAACAACATTGTTTCCATCATCTTCAAACACCTCAGCATCATGGCCACATGCACCTTTGAATCAAAATCTGTTGAAAAACCCTTTCACCTCACAACCCACTCAGACATGTTCCTCGAGTTTATCTGAGCCTACATCTGCAGCATTCACTCATGGTCTAGTTACAATGCGTCTTCTTTAGATGATTTTTGGTCAACTTCAATAGGTGGACCTTCTATTTCCATGGTGACTACACCTGCTACCTCTGTTTCAGTTTCACCTTTCAGTCAACCAACAACATTCTTTAAGCCTTGTGCTCCTTTAACTCAGAACTATAATGGGGAAAGTACAATAGGAATTATTGGCCAAATTACTAGCAAAGACCAAAATCCATTTGGAACACTTCCTCCAATATCTCACTTGTCCTTTGAATGTTCTCAATCGATTCAATATGGGATATCCAGCATACCTGTAAGTATAGATAGCATGTGTATCGTTGTTGTATATTTATTGTTGTTCCACTTATTTGTTTATTATTGCATCCTACTTTCATTTTCTTTTCTATTACATCATTGTAATTTGAAAAATCTAACCAATTATAGCATTGTATGTGGTTGACAATGCTATAGTTTAGGTAGAATTTTTAAAGTACAATATGGTAATAGGGTGAAATAGAAATAGTACTGGAATTGCCATGTTTAATATTTGAACATTTGTGTATTTGTCACAGGTCAAAGACAAGCCTGCCATGGTCAAATATCCCTTGTTGACTACAAGGCATTTGTACAGAAGAAACAAGTTGCCAGTTCAGAAGTATGACCCAAAACTAAATAGTTTAAAGGTGAGGATTTTTGCAATATTGGAATTTGTGTTTGAGAAACAAGCCTTTTTAAACTAAAATAAGGGAAGAGAAGAAGGGGAACTAAATCACATCAAATATTGCACATTGTATTTGTAACTGTTTATGCAGATGCCATTTTTTAGTGACACCAAGGAGATACCAGTTGCTGCATTTTTCCCAAGGGAAAATCCAAGGGAGTTGGTTATCAAAGGGAACATGCATAAACAAAAGTTGTCAGATAGCATGTATGAAAATGAGAAAGGTACTTTTACTTTCTTTTAACAATTATTATGTTATTGTTCACATATTTCAACTTTCATTTGCTAACAATTTCTTTATGAATATTTCAGATGATATCAAGGGTTATGATTCTTCAAATGATCCAACCAATGAGAAAAATAAGTTCCCATCAGTGCTTGATGTCCCATTAAAACTTCAACTCCCTGACTACTACACAAAACCTCAAATTTCAGAGTTGGAATCAAAAGAAAGGGGTGAGCCAGGCTTTTGCAGCCATGTTAATGACTTTGTAATTGGTCGCCATGGCTATGGGAGTATTAAGTTCTTAGGGGAGACAGATGTGAGAAGACTTGATCTTGAAAGTATTGTCCAATTTAATAACCGAGAGGTTACTGTGTATATGGATGACATAAAGACACCACCCGTTGGCCAAGGGCTCAATAAACCAGCCGAGATAACACTTCTTAACATCAAATGCATTGATAAAAGAAGTGGAGTGGAGTACAAGGATGGGTTGAAGATTGATAAATACATAGAGATGTTGAAGAAGAAGGTGGTGGCACAAGGCGGTGAGTTTATTTCATATGATCCGGTTGAAGGAGAATGGAAATTTAGAGTCCAACACTTCTGAACACTATTCTCTTGATGATCTATTGATGTTGATACTGGTATTGATGGTTGGAGTTTGTATTTTGCTTATGTAAAGTACTTGCAATAATGTAAATAGTAAGTGCAAAAAATATTTATGTATTTTTATTGATTTGTTTATCATAACACCATGTATGAAAGTGAGAAAGGTGTTTTTTTTAACTAGTATGGTACTATTGTTTTTACTAGAAGTCAACTACAATAGACATATTGAAATGTTTTAAATGTTAGGCTTAGGTTCATGATATAGCAACGAAGTTTCATCGATTTGTTTATCATAGCATTGTACTCCCATTTCTTCTGATTACATAATTGTAAGAAAAATGTACCTGTTTATAGCAATTTCATCAAAATGCAAAGAATTTCAAAGTATAAAATCATATTAGAAAACAACTGAAATGTAAAACGCTGTAATAAGAATTCAAATGAAAGTACAATGTTGTAATAAGAATTTATGATTCTACCCCTGCATACACAATGAGGTGTATGAGGGAACAATCCTTGGGCAACAAGAAAACCTAAGAAGTCGCTTAGGGTTCAAGCAAACAAACTAGGATGCTATAACCGGCCCTATATATAGACATCGAATTTGTGGGTTTTGATAATCAGAGAGAGTAAGAGAGGATAGTTTCCAATCTAGTTTTGATATATTTTCTGAATTACAATAAGAATTTATTCCTTTCAATCCAGTGAATTGCTTTTTTCTGTTTATTAGTTGTTATATTCAATTGGTATCACAGCGCTACACAACATAAGAGATAGCCGACGATCATGATAGGACCCACGGATCTAGGTTCGTCTGGAACAAAGGAGAATTCGTTATTCTCCTTTCACGTGTCAATGCTCACCATAAACAAATACACTATATGAGCAATTCGTATGAAGGTTATCCTCAACGTTCACCAAGTATGGGACGTCGTCGATCCAGGAACAACAGATGCCAAGTGAAACAATGTAACAATAGCAGTTTTATTCCAAGCAATCCATAAAGACTTAATCTTGCAAGTTGGCATGATGAGTACAACGAAGGAGATTTCGAAAGCCATCAGGATTCGCCACCTTGGAGCAGACCGCGTACGGGAAGCTCATTAACAAAACCCTAATAAACATGTTTGATAACTTAAAAATGAAGGAATCAAGTACGATTGACGAGTTTGCAAGTCAGCTATCGCCTATCTCATCAAAATCTACGTCTCTTGGCGAAACAATAAATTAGAGTAAACTTGTTAGGACATTTCTTACAAGTTTATTAAGAATATTTATCCATGTTGTTGCCTATATCGAACAGGTTCTATACCTAAAGACGGTTGGATTCGAAGACGTGGTGAGGCGTTTAATAGATTATGAAGAACACATCCGAGAAAGTGATCTAGCAAACAAACGAACAAAGCCAACTTTTGTTTAATAAAATTAAATCTTCAAATCGAGGTGCAAAATAGAGTCGAGGTGGCCGAGGATCAGGAGGTGGAGATCGGGGGTGTCACAACAATTCCTATTAACAAAATCGAACCAGTGCCACAAGTAATGGCGATTCTGAAAAATCAAAAAGCAAAAACAAAGATCATTCCAAAGTACAATGTTATAGGTGTGGCAATTTTCGTCACATTACATCACAATATCCGGAACGAAAAACCAAGCAAGAAAAAGCACATGTATCCAATGTTGCAGGTCATTATCCACATCTTTTTATGGCTCAAACCCTCAATGAGATAGTTTTCTTAAATGAATAAGGTGTTATACCAAGAAAATTCGAAAATCAAGATAACAACAATGGTGTTTGGTACTTAGATAACGATGTAAGTAACTACATGACAGATAATTTATCTTACTTTACCAAACTTAATAATAGAATCGGGGGGGAGGGGGGGGGGGGTACAGTAAAATTTGGCGATGAATCTTTTGGCGAGATACATGGCAAATGATATATCTTATTCAAGGGTGAAGGGGAAGCCAAAAGTTACTTCGAGCCTTAGAACTAATATTATCAGTTTAGGACAATCAACTGAAATTGGGTGTGATGTGTCAGTGAATGGTGGTTATCTACATATTTATGATAGTCGAAATATACTTTTACTTAAAGTGAAACGTTTCGCAAACAAACTCTACAAAACAAAAATCAAAGTTGGAAAACCAGTTTGCTTACACAGTTGTCTTAGTGACCAATCATGGTTATGGCATGCTAGATTAGGGCGTACAAACTTTTATAACATTTCAACTATGTCACAAAAAGAACTTGTTAAAGGACTACCCTCCATCACCGAACTTGTTAAAGGACTACCCTCGAGGTATGAAATTATTTCCGATTGTGTATGATTTCTTTTTCAGCCACGACATGGTGAAGCCTCACCACGACGTGACGATAAGCTTTCGGGCCGCGGGAGTTTAATGAACCACCACGACGTGGTGGCGGCTGTTGGAGAAAACCCTAAAGTTTAAGGGTTGGGCCCTATTTAAACTCCTTAACCTCTCATAGCCTCCCTTCCATCAGCCTCTATCTCTCCAAATCGTCCCTTACAAACCTTAGAGCCCTTGTGTGAGTTTTTAGCCTTAAAGTGTGTGTGTTTTGTGCTTGTGAAGGAAGAAGGTGGTGGAAGATCATATTGGGAGTCCAAAGCAACATGGATCTAGGAGTTTATCTTTGTCAAGAATCTCAAGGAGGTATAAAGTCTTCATCTTGATGAGTTAGTTGATAGATCTATGGATTTTGTCCACTTTTCTCTATGCCTTGTTGCTTTGGAAGGATTAATCTCATAAAGCTTGTAACTTTATGAATCCCCAGGCCATTTGGAGCATTTGACTCTTTGGATCTTATTTAGATTTGAGTTTTGAGGCCATGCATGGAATCTTGGCCCTTTTTAACCTAATTTGACCTAATAAGAGTTCAAGACATGCATTGGACATGCATGTCTGAAAAGCACTGATTTTTATGATCTGTTTGGAGTTAGAAACTCTTATGGAGCCTTTGGACAAGTAACCTTAAGTATTGAGTGAATATTTCTTAAGCCATGTAGTGTTTGGACCTTAAAGTTGAGATTTATACACTTTGGAGGGTTCAATGTGTCACAACTTGAAATTTTAAACCTAGTAAAGTCTAAACCCTAACCTAGCACAAGCGAATCTACATTGCACTCCTTGTTGCATTGCATTCTCTATGGCCTTGAGGGCTTGTTTATAGGGCTAACACCTAAGTATAGATTGAAACCTAAGTTAATTTAGGGTAGTATGAATCAAGTATTGGCAAAAGTTAAGGTTTAAAACATAAATAAACACCTTAAATTGGTGTTTTCAGTCATAGGAATCAATTATATGGTGAATTCGGTCATGGAATCAAACCAAGTTAGGAATTCGGTTATAGGAATCTAAATTAAATGGTGTTTTCGGCCATAACATTCAACCAAAGATGAATTCGGTCTTGCTATGACCGAACACACAAAGATGATGGCCCATTAGGACTGAATTCCCCAAAGCCCAAGCCCCTTAAGACCGAATTCCCTAATGCTATATATATATATATATATATATATATATATATATATAATATATATATATATATATATATATATATGTTAAGCCGAATTCAACTTCATTTCCCACTTTTCACACCGAATCCTTGCCAATTTTCTCTCAAAACCTATAAGATTTCGCCCAGAAGATCTTCAAATCTTTATAAGATTATCAAGAACATTCATAAGGAACCTTCAAATCTCCTCATTTTTCACAAAAAACATTGATCCGAACCTTCATAAACTCCTCATCTCAACCGAAAACTCCATTTTGTCCACCGAAAACCTATTCCAACATTTCAAACAATTCCAAATAATTATTGTAAGTATTCCTTACACAATTAAAGTGTTGTTTAACACTTTAATTATTATTTCCAACATTATTTAAATTAATATCTTATTAATTTAAATAAGAATGTCGAATATAATTATTTTTAGGATAACGTTATTCGCACGTGCGCTAGTCCGAGGATCGTCTCTACGACTCGATATTCAAACTCAAATGCACTAAAAGTGAGTTCATACCCCTACGTTTTCACTATTTTTCAAAAATTTTAGGGGGGAGAATACAAGTAAAACACAAGGATTCTTGTGTTAACATTCGAACGATTTCAAAACCATTTGTAATTGATTCAAACCGATTTGTCAATACATTTTAAAATAAAACATATGTTTATTTATTTTAACCATTTTGTAACATGTCGAGCAAGAGGGTGTTTATCACAAGTTTTTGACTACTACTTTATACATACATTTAATTGCAAAAGTTCCAGTACATTACCCAACGTTACATTTTAAACTATAATTGGTATAGTTTTGTGAACTACTACACTATTTTGCTAAGTACAACACACAGAACAAGACATGCATTTAAACTATAATAGGTATAGTTTGGAAGACACTACACTATTTTACAAAATTCAAGAACACTACTCTATTACAATGATTCAAGGATACACTACTAAATATTTGATGAAGTATAATTATTTTACATTACAAAGTACACTATTATTAGGTAATACATACAACTTCAAGTACAAGAGAACACTATAACACTACACGTAAACTAGTTAATACAGGGTTGTGAGGCACTACTTCGGGTACCCATCTGGGTACAGGTTCAAGTCCTATAAATTATAACCAGAGTCTCCCGGATGGAGAGCGTGAAATTTGTGTATAGATCTATACGGGACTGACAATCCCGCACCTCGATTGTTAGCTACAGTCAGGCCTGCCGGCCTGGGGTGACAAATGTCATAATATACCGACGCCTGAAGAATGTCGTAGAGGCCACTAGGTAACATTAGTATGGTTATATGAAACTCACAATAGTATTAAATAAACTTTGTTTACGGGATTAACACCACTTTAATGGTTTTATTATAATTAATGAAACTACCGTACACTACTATACAATTCATCTGGTGGTATCTAGGCATTTATACAAAGGTTTTCATGCAACACACTACAATACATAATAACTGGTGGTATCCAGGCATTCATACAAAGATTTTCATACAAATAGAATTACAGTACACTACTTTACTAATATAGAGTACATTAATACAACATACAATTACAAGAAACACGCTGAAAACAGTTTTATTTATTAATAAGGCTATAGCCTACTACTATA